CGATATAAGATAACGAACTAACTTTTGGACGCTTCTTTTGAAAGGACTACAAAGTTTTTTTCCTAAACGGGATTAAAACGTAATTTTTGTAGATATTTAAAAAAAACTACTTTTGAAAATTGATTTTTTTTTCCTTTAAAATTGAGAACCAAGATATATACATTTTCTTTTAATAAAATTAAACCCGGATCAACAATTTGTCACACAAGTGTTGCCCCCCGTGTAGGTATCGAAGCCGCGACAAATTACACGGCAGTCGGTTGTCCAGCCGGACAGCGCATGACAACGCATTGACAACTTACAATAAGAAATATGACATTTTCCTAAATCGGGAACGCATAATGTGTGTGAATCGACCTTGAAAACACAATTTATATTTATCACTTAGTTATAAAATTAAAGTTAATATTAAATTCGTTATCAAAACAAAAAGGTCAAGTACGTAACGTTTGATACTAAGAATAATGTAAAGACATACAAATTGTATCGACACTGTGATAAAGAACAAAAACATATAGTTTTTAATATGCTCATGATCATAATCTGCTTCTAGGTGACTTAGGCAAGGTTCCAGAGCTGGTCACGAAAAAAAACTTTGTACCTCTTAAACTTGCAGTACACATTGGTCCAAAGTATTGGGCCAACATTTTGGCCCAACGTGTACAGGGCAACTTGGAGACATGTTGGTAGCGATGTTCTGGTTGGCGCCAATATTGGCGAGCAAACAGAATGTTGTCGCTTTTTTGTCCACACATCAAAGGATTCTGGCGCGCCGCTACCAACATACCGCCAAGTAGCCCTCTACACGATGGGCCAATAGATTGGCCCAAACCTTGGTTCAATGCGTACTGCGGGCTTAGACCTAGGATAGCCGGTAGGATGGCTAAGACTTAGTCTTTATCCTCGAAATCATAGGAGACTTGATGGATTCAGCCCGTAATAGGATTTCTCTTGTCTTTCTCTTAACATAAATCTTTCATCAGAATGGTATCCAAGAGATGGTAAAAGAAGTTGAGGCGGACAAACAAAAAGATGGGAAGATGATCTGAAAAAGGTGGCTGGTACAAAAGGGATCGAAGTTGAAGAGGGCAGAGAAAAAAATGGAAATCCTTGGAGGTGGCCTCTGTCGAAAGACAAGATATTGCAAAACATAATCATCCGATAGCCGATAACTTAGAATGATATACGTACATATATTAATGGTTTAGTTATAATTAATTTACAGTAATTGAAACTAATTTCATTTTATTATCTACAATCACCTAGCCAAAAATAACAAATCTAGGAATAAACTCAATACAAAAATAGCAGCCGCTTAAACTGTCCGCAACAATAATAAAACAATACTGAAACAATCGTTAACTTAACTGCTGAAGGCTGAAATTCTATTTTCAGCACTAAATATAACGATTGTCGATAAACGTCAAACTAATACAATTACCACTGACATTTTGAAATGTCAAACGATACGTAGAAATCGGTTTAAGTTTTAAAATAGACCATCAAGTGTAACTTTGTTTGGTACAGTTTATTTATTAATTAGGTAGATTTTTAGATCAAGAATTATTATTTTAACTTTAAAACAAAATTAAATTATTAAAATATAACCATACTGTCATTCGTTTATATCACAATATATATGTACTAACTTAATTTTAGATTTTGACACTTCAAAAAAAGTCATCCATTTGACTAGTAGGAGACTTAGCATTAAGTATTTTTTCTAAAAGATTATAAGGGCTTTATTTTGGAAGAAGGCGTGTAATTGAAATTGCGACTGTCAATAGTGGTTATTGGGACTAGAACAGATAGATAATCTTGGTCAGTGTACCAGACTTTGCATGAATCAGAGCTTTTTTGTGACGGAAAAATCCTCAAATCGCCCAGAATGAGGAGTGTCAGACTCTTACTGACAAATTCCCCCCCTCTTCAATTCTGTCTCTTGCTCTAGGCCAAGGCAGCGGAACCTTATTGCGCTTGTCCCGTAACTATGAATTAGATTAATATTTACCGCTGCCAGAGCTGTTACCGATAAATTTCAACAGTCGAAAAATCGTCACAAACTTAATCAGGCTCAGATATGGTACCTTTTTTCTTAGGTACCGAATTTACTAGCATCGCTCTTTATTTAACAGTCTCATCCTTAAATATTAAACACTACTTGAATGTAAGACGCTCTCAAAAATATCGTTGTGGACACTTTAAAGTTACGCAGTCAGCGCGATATTAAGTCCTTAGGTTAACTGACGGACACTCCGATGGATAAATCTATTTTTGACGTTACAAAAGTGCTTTTAAGTGTTCTTATTAAAATAAGCAACTGTTTTAAGGGCCATGTTTCGGTACGAATGGGTCGGCTCGACCGGTGATACACAGCTTTACAGAAAACCAGCGTTACGATTCACCGTGTGAGTGAAGTTACCGTAAGGCTAATCTCCCCTCAATCCATCAATCTCCGAAATCCTAATCCCCAAAAGGTGGGCCACGCAATCTTAACTACTCCTTTGTTGCGGGTGTTCATGGGCGGCGTTCGATTGTTTACCATCAGGTAATCCGCCTGCCCGTTTGCCGTCCTTTCACATAAAATAAACTACAAATTGGGTCTATATTAAAAATAATATGGAACGGTATTCAAATACGAGTATGTATTTATTAAAATAGGAGCCAGCCGGCAGTGGGAGCAAGGTACAAGCTACCGGTGGTAAGGGCTCTAGAGACAGAAACCTCCTCATAGTACGTGCCATGAAACAGTATTATGTATATTCTTTAAATTGTAACATTACAGTATTCCCGAGTAAACAATTTAGGTATTTTATTTTTCTCGCTTTTCGCTTGTTATTTAAACCGAGTACTACATAACATTTTCCGATTGCAGTTTTCCTATGAACAACTAGAATGTCAGTTGAACTATTATTGTCGATTTGTAGGTAATATTAAATTCACGAAGGCTTCGTTCTAACAATAGGCCTTCTCGGAATCTGAAAGAACCTTTAGGAAACTTGTGTTTTGCTATATCGAACTAACAAATAATGTAAGTCAATAGAGACTCTTTCTAAGAATATGATTCCTTTCTTAGTTTTCTCGCAGAAATAACAGTAATGATGATTGATATATCTTTCACGCTGACGATTAACCGTTGCTAAAGTGCCTATTTATGTTTTAATCAAAATAAATTATTTTAACTTTAACTTTGACCTTGTGGCTGGGTATTCGGTTGCCGTGCAAAGTGTCACGGGTTCGATTCCCGCACGTATCAACTCTTTTTATTATCAACAAATAATTGTTCCGGGTTCGGCTGTGATGTGTTTGTGAAATTGTATGTTTGTAAATACATCTACAACACATGAGAAAATTCTAGAGTGTGGCAAAGTGTTAAAATCAAATCTAAATCGTATTTAACACTTTAACCACGACATAGGTCACCGATGACCTACGGTAGCAGAGTATTTGCCATCAATGGTTCATGATCGGCAGTCAAAGGCTTAAATATCAGTAAAATAAAATAGTACCACTCTATATCAAACACGATACCCTAGAAATTAGCATTCGAACTTCACAAGCAACAATAGACTAGCTATTAAAACATAATTTCTAATATACATAACGCAAGCGTTGGTTCACGCCGGTATTCTGTAAAGCCGTGGCTAAACTTCGGTCGGATCGACCCATTAAAAATGTTAAAAAAACCTTGCCCTACTCTTGGATTTTCTCTTGTGTTGAGGTCGGTTTACAAACATACAATTTCACATACACATCACACCAGACCCGCAACCATTTGTGGATCACACAAAGAGCAGTTCCGTGCAGGAACCGAACTCGCGTCACGTTGCGAGGCAGCCAGTTTACCAAGACACCTCGACAACGTGGTACCAACCGTGCAGTCTACATCTCTCCTTTCACACAACGACACTTAGCACAATTACAAATACCAACACGAAAACAACTTGTTTAGTTAAAGTTGAACCGCAGTTACGCCACCAGTTAACTGACTGGTGTCAATAAGCGCACGCAACACCACGCAACGCGTTGTAACTAATTCAGTTACCGAGTCGGTTACGTTAACTGATTTATAGGTCATTAGACTTCCAAAATAGATAGCAGTTTTGTTTTATGATAGTATATACAAGCATATTGTATTTAAATGCACGGTTTGTGCAGTGGCTGGGCAACTGGCTACAGTGCAATGTATCGTGGTTTCGATTCCCGCACAGAACAACACTTTATGTGATCCACAAATTACTGTTTCGGGTCTGAGTGTGATGTGTCCTGGACACAGGAGAAAATCTTAGTGTTAGGAAAAAAGGACATAGAAAAAAATGTTTTGGAGAAATAATTGTGTGTGACATCATTTTTGTAATTAATTTATCACACATCACATCACCGCCTTGAACCTATTGTCCCTATTGAGAACTTATTGTCAATTCGCTTTAAAAGCCTCTTCTCAAGCAGAGAAGGCTTTAATGAATAAACAAAAAAAAAAAATTGTTCACTGATATTTTTGTCACCGCGCGCCTCACTTATGAGCCCCGTTATGGCTCGAAAGCAGTCGAGTAAACAGACACTTAATTAAGGCGTCAAGATTTGACGAAGTAACATTGCTGTAAAAATATTTTTTCTAATAAGAAAAAAACCGTTATTGTAAGATAACAAGTAAATTAAAATATTGTACTTACTTTTGTCGATCAGTTGATTCAAGTTGATTGTTGATACTCGTACCAGAATAACGAAAAATATGGAAAATTTGATTCCATTATTGTTTTTACTTGTGTTTTTATCGTACATAATAATATGTATTAATAACTACACTATGAAGGTACCAAAGGCAGAAATATAATATTTCCCTACGTATAATATCTATAGGTATGTTACTAAACATGTAAAATTCAATCGTCCCTGAAAAAAAACTAAACCAGTGGTTTTTTTTTTTTTGTGAGGGGAAAATCATCAAATGACTTCTCCCGCCCAGGGCCGGGCAGGAGGGAGTGTCAGACTCTTACTGACTAAAAACCCCCCTGTTCCTTCTCCTGCTCTGTGCCGAGGTCGCGGTACCTCATTGCGCTTACCCCGCGACCCCGGCTGAACATCAGCCCTTTAGGGCCCCGTTTGTGGTGGTCGAATGGCTCTTTGAGGCGCGCGCGGAACGCTACGCGCCGTACGCTCGGGCCTGGTTCTGGTCGGGCGGCGAGCTGCCCTTACTCGCCGACCGCAGGCCCGTACTTACGGTGGCCGGAGATCGTCCCTCGATCCCCTACGCCCGTAGTGTCGCCAGTTGCGGCTGCTGGGGCGTGAGGAGGAGGATTGCTCCCTCACGCGGGCCGCCTCTCTCTTTGCGAGCATGACTGCTTCACAAAAGGAGGAGACGGCGTCCCAGTTCCTCTCACTCCGCACCATGGCCTCGACTAAGGCCGGGCGCGAGAGGTCGCCGCCGCCGATCACTTCCCTGAGGATACGGCGGTGCTCAGCCCAGGCAGGGCATACCGCTACCGTATGCTCCACCGTATCCTCTAGGTGGTCCTCACAATGACGACACTCGGGCGTTTCCTCCCGCTGAATCCGAAACAGGAACCTACCGAAGCTGCCGTGCCCGGTAAGCACCTGCGTCAGACGGAAGGTGAGGACGCCGTGGCGTCTCTCAAGCCACTCCTCAAAGAGGGGTCTTACCGCTGCTATGGTAGCGTGCCCGGCCCTCGGTTGCGACAGTCGTTGTCTCCACTCTGCCATGAGATCTCGCCGGAGCTCATTCCTAAACCTAAACTTAACTAAACCAGTGGTAACATCCTGTTTGTTGATGGTTCAAAGAATATATAAATACATTTTATACATAATATTTACTGAGAGAAATCGTAAAATATTGTGATTTTTATTAAATATCATTATTACATTTATTTATTTATTTATCTCATATTACTTTGCCATTACAGATAACACGTAGTTACTAAATAAAAAATATGTTTCCTTAACTATAAGCTAAGTATATTTCATAATATACTGCTCAGTGACTTGTCCTTGTGATCTCAGTCAGTGTATATTATATTCAAATATTGTTTTACTATAGGTAATACCTTTTTAAACAACTTAAGAAATGTATTATTCGTTTTAAATCGTATTTATTAACATCTATTCATTAATATCATCTTTATTATCAATTTATCTCAGTAAATATCACGTATATAATATATATATATATCACTTAATGTATCATCATAAAAATTGACTCACCAATGATGGGCGTTAGCGTTTGGTCCCAAGGCAGGTCATCTTCAGCTTTCCTTACACTTCGTTCCACTAGAAAAACAAAGAGTTACATTAATTCTTAATCCGTTTTAATATTAAACTTACAAACACAAATAAAACCTTGAAAGAATTATCTTTGAACTCCTAAGCGTTAAGGAGTTGTACCTTCCATCATCAGCTCATCAACATGATTGTATGGTACCTACAGCATAGATACCTACTTGCTTGTTATTCCTTTCATGCATACATGTAATTAAATGATTATAAAACCATGAGTTTTATAAAATAGGATTTAATTGGGTATGAAACAGTCCTTGTATCAGCAGACTATCGACAATTGGTTAATCGTCATTTTTTTGAAGAAACATTGCCCATTGGGTGCGTTTAAAACAAACAATTTCACACACAAATTACACGAGCCCCTAAACAACAATTTGTGGATAACACAAAGAGTTGATCCATGCGGGAATTTAACCCGCGACAAGTGGCACGGCACTCATTTGCTCAGTCACCGCACCAACTGTGCAGTCTAAAATCATTTAACAAACAACCTAACATTCTATATCACTGAATAGTGAAGAAAGAAACATTGTTATCCAATTATTTCAAAAGCAACAACATCCCATTAATTAAAAGAAACCACTCACTATTGAGAAAATGCGTCGTCGCCGATGTTTTCCTAGATTTCTTGTCATTTGTGTCTAAGTCTGTAACAAAAATTAAAATTTATTTTAAGCACAACATTAATAGTATATTTTAGTTTTATATATTATCTGGACATTCGAACGCACTACATCGATAACAGGTGACAGAAATAAATATAGGAACATGACATCTATGACATTGACAGATGACATAACATAATATGCGATTAAAGTACAGTAGTAGGCATCCAGATGGTCTCCGGTTAATGTTTTTCGTAACGATAACACTTCCTTTTTTATGTATTAGGTCGGCAAACGAGCAGACGGATTACCTGATGGTAAGCAATCAGCGCGGCCCATGGACACCCGCAACGGAGGAGTTAAGAGTAATAGGGTTTTGGAAAATAAGGGATTGAGGAGGGATAGGGGGAGGGGAAAGATTGAGCCTCCGGTAACCTCATTCACACGACGAAACGCAACGCTGTGGTTGTTTCACGCCGGTTTTCTGTGAGGCCGTGGTATCACTCTGGTCGAGCTGACCCATTCGTGCCGAAGTTTGGCCACACTTACTTACTTCCTATTTTAATAACTGCACTACATTTTTGAAATATCGCAAACTTGTGCCAGTTATATGTATTATATAAATGTAAGAGAGACATGCTTCACGGATAGGCTAGCTTGCCCAGATTGATACAAAGGTCTCACAGAATACTAGCGTTAAATAATACTTGCGTTATGTTTCCCCGTTTCAGTAAGGTTACCTGAGACTTAATCCTTCCCCGATCCTTAAATCCCCAACGGTTTTGTTAGTGTCACGGGTGTCTATAGACGGCGCCGAGCACTTACACTTACCATCAGGCAATGCGTTTGATCGTTTGCCTATCTATCCCATAAACAAATATGTTATACAAGCTTATGAACTTGACAACATTCCGACGATTTCGAATACCGAAACATTCAATAACATTATATTCTTCGTAGCCCAAAAAATTAACTTAGAATAAGCCAAGCAAAATATCCCCCGTCGCTCAAAAACTCGGGGATTACAAAAATAAAAGAAAATAGCTTAAAAACTTACTATTCGGTTGATTATTAGCATGAATACGCTCCATGAACCGTGAGATCCTATTATTGTGGTGGTCGGGCGGCTGGTGGTCGAGGCAACAAGCCTCGTCTACTTGTCGGGCACACGCGCGGTGCACTCTGAGCTGGCAGTCGCTGCATACGTAGGCTTGTGGGGCTATGCCGGCGATTAGAAGCCCGCAGTGATGGCAATGGGCCACGGCAGTCAGAGCCTGGGCCGCAAGATGATGGCCCCGGACCACAAGGCCGGCCTGCACCTTGCCGAGTTGTTTTAGCCTCTGTTTGTACAATTTGTCTCGTTGTAGGAAAGCCGCGCGCGCTCCGCCTGCCGCTGCTGCTACTGATGCGGGCCTGGTGGGAGGAATGTTTAATTTAATTGCATGATATTTACATAAATAAATGTCCTTTTGTTTTATTTGTATGTTTACAATATTAGTTGAATTGATTATAAACGTCTTGGTGGTGTGGCTATTATTTAAAACACTATATAGTTTATACTAAATTCGAAATAGTCGTAGCTCAAGTACTACTTTTGTAAATTACTGGGGCTCTCTTAAGGATAGGATAACAAGCTACGGGATGTTAATTTGTTTCATAAGCTAAGTATTGTATTCTTGTACCGTGACGTCATATAGACACTAGAATGTCATTCTGATAGTTATATACTTCTTCCTGCTTATTATAAAAGAACTGGTAATACCTTGAACTATTCCAACAACAAAAATAATAAAATAACACATATTTTGTACTTAAATATTAACTAAGTTAATCACATCATTATTATTAAATTCCGAAACTTTCCTCAATAACGTTTGATTTGACACGCCACGAATGATATATTCAATTTGCATATATTACATCTTGCTTTATATGTACTAGGGAATTGTGAACATTTATTGACTAATTTAATGGAATACGAGTAGAAGGGAATAGCAGAACAGACAGAAATCATGTTTTAGATAATGTTCTTTTTAACTATCTTTGTATACTTACTTACCATCGTAAGATATAGTAAGTTAATAGAAAATAAAGAATTCTTCAAATTAATAAACAGAGACAATTTTATTTTCATCAACTGCCGTGACAATCACTTGGAGTATGAGTCTCCTCTACATAAGAATTGTCCTCATATTCTCCACGCAAGCTGGTCAGAGATTACAATTTAAAGTAGGTGGTAATATATTAATAAAACCGAGAAAATTGTATTATCAACAACTGCTGTGACAATCACTTGGAGTATGAGTCTCCTCTACAAAAGAATTGAACATTATGATTTACGTCATAACTTATCATCAGCCTATAAGTGCCCACTGCTGACCAAGGCCCCTTCTTCCACGAAGAAAGATTGAGCATTAATCACCGATCAAACCAGATTGGCGATTTCAAACTTTAATACAAATTTTAAATCGAAGTTTCCCCACAACATTTTCTTTCACAATTATGAAGTATACTGTTTATCAATTTATCAGTCAGTCACGTTTAAATCGTAATTAAAGTAAATTAATTTGTAATTAAATAGTTTATAGAGAGATACCCTCTATTAACTAGGCTAGCAAGCGCATAAAGGTCAGATACACATGATTAAGGATGGCCAGGATTGTACTAAAATAAAGAATCCATGTAGATGAGGGAACATATCTATTCTTCTTAGTTCTTAGTTTAGCAATATAACTTTATTTTTAAGACACGACAAATATTGTTTTAAGACACGCTCTTTCATGGTGTATAAAACAACATAACCTAACTTAATATAACAAAAAAGCATATCTTTTAAAAATAATTGATTGACCATTTCATGACAATATTTATTAATTACTCTACAATAAACGGGAATATAAAATTATATACTTTAGTTATATACTTATTTCCCCTTATTATTATACTTAGGTCATACAAACATACATACCCTATACTAAAAACCAATAAAAACAAATCAAAACTCACTTAGAACTTTTCAACTTCTTCTTATATTTAGATTTGGGTGACTGCCACCATTTTCTCCTTACTTCTAGAGCTTCAACTTCAGTCATTTCCAACATATTCACCATTTGAAACTTTAATACAACACAAACACTTCCTAACAACACTGGACACTAACTATAAATAACAAGGCAACAGGATAAATCTAAATTTGCCTTATAATGAATCATTTATTTGAAGCAAATTATTATTATTATACTGTAATAAAGTCGCTCTTTGATCATAAATTTTCAACTAACATTCTAAGAGACATACAATTATGGACACATACAAATACGGCAGAAAGTAATATAACTTTTATAGATAACAAAATAAGGGTTATTTTATGTTGAAAATGTGTTCACGTGTATAACTATCGGCGCTAACTGATCGAATGACAACTTATGTTCGTTATCAACCGACGATAAGCTTGTTTACAATGATTATCTGTTCATTGAATGATTAGTAAATGTCATATCGTAAATAGATTTTGGATTTCGCGTGAATTGCATTCACTTTACCACTTGGCAACTTCTGAATTTCAATGCGTTTTTTCAATTGTTAAAATTGAGTGTTGCTTCATGAAAATTGACACAAAAATAGAATATTGTGTAAAAAACGAAAGTGTGATTGGTGAAGTCGAAATTATTCTTTTTTGACTTTTTCAAAAATTGAAACCATGTTTCTCTCAGGGTAATTAAGCATTAATTACCCTGAGAGAAACATGGTTTCACCCCTTGTCATAGTTACTTTAGTAGGTAACTTAACAAATACTTGAGACATACAATGATATGAGCGACCTCATTAGAGAGATTCTGGTTAACGTTCAAATGGTAAACGCTCAGGCCTAAACTAATATTATAACACAAAAAATCTTTAGACAATGACCGATTTTTAATGTAATTTGTAGGTTTCTTTTGTCAAAACTGTAAATTATTTCAGAAAAGTTCTATGCTTGGTGAAGGTGGACTTGGTCTGTTGTGAAAGTTAAGCAAGTACATTACAGTGCATCGTATTAACATTTTACTGTCATGGGAGAGAAGCGGAAACCAAACTAGCGACAATATTATGATGTCTATTAAATCAGGTTTACAGTATGTGAGAGCTATGTTTCGGCACTGAGGGGCCCCGTTAAACCGAAGTGATACCATGTCTTAATAGGATATCAACGTGAGATGCTTGCGTCTTGTATAATTGAAAATTAGGTTACCGAAGACCCGTTTGTCCTTCTCCTTCATCAGTCAATGTCCAAATCCCCAATCCTCAAATCCGTAATAGACATTTGTAAATCCTTTGGTGTTACCGAGTGAATTGCTTACTATCAGTTTCATTTTCAATGTATTTCTCCACGTATGGGATAGAGACGAAACCTTACCTATTATCCAATCATCCATTATCCAACATCTATCATCCGTCACCCATCGTCCATCGTCCATCGCTCATCGCCCAGCGTCCATTGTCCATCGTCCATCGCCCATCGTCCATCGTCCATCGTCCATCGTCCATCGTCCATCGTCCATCGTCCATCGTCCATCGTCCATCGTCCATCGTCCATCGTCCATCGTCCATCGTCCATCGTCCATCGTCCATCATCTATCATCTATCATCCATCTTCCATCATCCATTATCCGTCATCCATCATCGATCATCCATTATCCATCACACATTACCCAACATCCAACATCCACCATCCTCTAAGACGATGTAGAAGTAGTGTAGTACCTGCAGTGCAGACAGAGCGCGGCGGCGACGAGCGCGGCGAGCAGCGTGGCGTGCGCGTCGTGCGCGTGCGCGTGCGCGGGCGGCCCGTGCGCGTGCGCCGCGCCCGCCGGCAGCGCCGACACCGCGCGCAACTGACCACACATCAACTGCTCCACCACCACTAGCTCCTGCACGGGGAAGGGAGATCATTTATTTATTTTATTTTATTACGATAACAAACAGTTGTTAGATTCACATTTTGGGCATTTGCAAGTTTTTTTCCACATTTTTAGGACTTATTAGTATTTTGTACAGGCGTTTTCGGTCGGACTATATGGTTAGATCACTCGCAATTTCAAATAACAAATTTTAAACATCTTTCTACTGGTTTGCGATTAATTAAGACTGAGTGACATTAAACCCTTTTTTTAGCTACTATGAATTAAAAAAAGGATTGCCCAGACAGCGTATCAACTATTCAACTATAGGATGACTGGTTACTAGTAACCGACACCTAAAACCGTGATAAAACTAATGAATATAGAAAAAAAATTCTTTGGGAAAGTTGTTTGTTACAATGACTTAAAGATGTCACTATATGTGCTTATATGTCTATCGTACAAGGTCCCTAAGGGACCAAGTTTACCAAAGATCCGCTTCAAGGTCTTTACAAAAAAACATTTAGTCAAGTGAACCATCCTAAAAGATATATAGAAAAAAATAATAGTGATGTACCTGCGCCTTATCGACATCACACTTGTCGATAACGCTGTCTTCAGGTCCGTAGAGTGTACCCAACCCAACCTGTCTCTTGACCTGGAACTCGGTGAGTTGCTGGCTAAGCTCGTCTTTGGCCTTCTGTCGCGCTTTGCGAAACACGTTGCGAAGGAGTTCTTCTTTTTCGTATTCTAGAAATAGATAATTGAGTTGAACCTGAGTTTATTATCGACGTTTCTTCAAACAAATAGAGAATAAATCTATACTAATATTATAAAGAGGTAAAATTTGTAAGTTTGTATGTAGGGGGTAATCTTTGGAACCGATTGTCGGATTGCCAAAATTCTTTCACTGATAGATAACTACAATGTTCCTGAGTGCTATAGGCTATAAAACATCGCGCTACGATCAAATGGAGCTGAGCAGCGGGTGAAACCGCGCGAGAGTAGCTAGTATTCAGTAATTCAGTAGGATTTATGGTCGATTTCAATAACCCTTTCTTATGGGATAAGTTGGCTAAATAGCATATGGATCAAGTGACGGTAAGCAATAAGCGTCGCCCATGTGCACCTGCAACACCAATGGTCTTACCGACACGATACCAGTCTTTCAGGGTTTGGGGATCTTTTTTGTGAAGGGAAAATCATCAAATAGTTTCTCCCGCCCATCGTGGGGCGGGAAGAGTCATCCCCAGGGACCTGGGGATTACTGATTGGAGGGGAGGATTAGCGCTTCGATAGCAAATTGGTCAAAACAGAACGATTAATGAAACAGACGAAACGTCAATTTCATAAGAAGCCATGGTATCTCTTTAGTCGAACTGAATCACGACTCTCCCACATAATTAAGATCCAAAATAATCCCTGGATTTGAATAATTTTTGAAGTTGCTTGTTCTGTCAATTCAGAGATTTTGTCTAATAATAAGTTATACCGGGTAAGTTCGGGTTACTTTGACCCTGCGGGGTAACTTTGATCCAAACCCTTTAACCGATAATGACTAAGAACCAAACATATATTCGTTTTTCATTGGTTCGAAAATTTGGATCAAAGTTACTTCCCAGGGTCAAAGTAACCCGAACTTACGGTAGTTCAAATTTTTAGGTAATTTCGTAGTCCCGTTGAGAATTACTAAATATCTACTACTATTGTAATTATTAAGTTGTTCGTTCTAATACGTACCATTAACTAAAACATGTTCGATCTCATTCGCCATGTTCTCGTCCGCACCGCTCAACTGTAAAATCTGTGGAATTACAATAATTTAATAATATAGAAATAAATTATCATCTATTATCCAACATCCATCAGTCACATTCATCAGCCAACATTCAGCATCTATGATCCATCATCCATCATCTAACATCCAACATCCATCATCAAACAGCCATTATCCAATAGCCATCATCCAACATCCAACACATCTTCCGTCATCCAACATCCATCATCTAGCATCCATCATCCAACATCAATCCTCCAACAGCCATCATCCATCATTCTTCATCCATGATACATCATCCATCATCCACCATCCATCGTTCATCATCCATCATTAAAATATTTACCGCGTTAGGTACGAGGAATGTCGAGTGAATCTCGTATGCCCAGCGGCGCAGAGTGTGGGTTTGCACTCCACTGGCGCTGCGGTACCCATCCGTTAGTACTAGTAGTAAACAGGCGCACGCGCATCTGTAACAAGACACGCAATGTTAGAAAAAGAAAAAAATACATCCTTAAGGATCATAATCGGACACTTTTCATATGTTTCAATTCACCAGAGTTTCATAAAAATTTCTCGTCATATGTAAGAAACAGAAAATAGAAAATAGAATATTGACTTCTGACTTATTTAGGACATTGTTAGGGATAAAAAATATACGTATCCTTTTTATTGAACTACTAGCTTTTGCCAGCGACTCCGTTCGCGTGGAATAGTGACTTCCTGCAGATTTTTTGTATAAAAACTATCCTATGTCCTTTCTCGAGTTCCAAACTAAGTCTGTGCCAAAATTCACAGAAATCCGTTCAGTAGTTTAGGCGTGAAGAAAAGACAGACAGACAGACAGAGTTACTTTCGCATTTATAATATTAGCATATATAGTATACATAACAGTTTAATATCATATTTTGTCTAGCTTTCAGTGTCATATTTTGATCATTTACGTTCTTTATACATCCTAATAATTTTAAAAAACCACATACCTAGATATGTGTGAAAAATTTTTTTAAGAAGGTAACTGTATTGTTTCTGGGCAATGACTTGATCGCTGACTGCAACCTCAAATTATTATTTGTATCGAATATTTAGTTGACAAATCACATTCATCGCGATTGGCACGGTGGGTAGACAAGTTATAAATTAAATAAATTTTTTATCATATACTGACATCAAATACAATATAAATTGTTCATGATTAAATAAATAAATATAACTATTTTGTAACTTTCAAACTACATATATCAAGGGATCTGCCGTGTTTTACCATTAACTCACCTCAACTTCAACTAGCTCTAAGCTACACAGTAACTCCCAACTCTTTTGAGAATAAAGTACACGCTAAATAGCAGTAAAATTAAGCCCAATACCTCCTTTCTCCCAGCAACCAGTTGAGCAGTACCGCTGTCCGCGCCTTCGATTCACGTACTGATCGCAGGTTTGAAAATAAACCGGAGTACGTCGATGTGTCCTGAAAAGTACAACAAAATGCTACGTTGACATTACTGCAAATATAGGACAGCCAAGCTTCGGCACAAATGGGTCGGGCGGTGGAACGGAGTGATACCATGGCCTCACAGAAAAGCAGCAACGCACTCGTTACTCCTCTTGAGTTGTCGGTGCCCACGGGCGGGGTCGAATGCTTACCATCAGGGAACCATTATCTCGTGTGCCGATCATGACATAAAAAAATCAATGTCATACTACAACAAATACATCATGGTAGTTCGATGATATAACCGAGCCCCTCCTAAGAATCCCTATTCTTGAATTTCATATAAGTGGTTGACTGTTGAAGGTAAATCCTGCACTAACATAGGCCACCGGTGACCAGTGTGAGGACTTTTTAGAGGGTGGAAATCATGGAAAGACCTCTATCGCTCAGTGTGAACTGAAGGAGTATCAGACTGTTAATAAAAACCATTCCGTTCCTTCTCTTGCTCCGAGTAAGGCCGCGGTACATTGTCGCGCTTTGCTAAATCCATCAGTTTTAATAATTATATGTCAGGGCTTGTCAATAGCAATTTAATAATCTAGTTTAAGTTATAATATTTAAGTATTATAACACGCGGTTTCCGAAAGGCCGATCAATGTTAAAATCAATTTATCTATTACTGGAGTTATACCACGGCCTCACAGAAAACCGGCGTGAAACAACCACAACGTTGTGTTTCGCCGTGTGAGTGAGGTTACCGGATGCCCAATCCTTCCCCTACCCCAATCCCTTCCCAACCCCTAAATCCCCAAAATCCCTATCCCTAAAAGGTCGGCAACGGAGTTACGAGTGTAACTCCTTCTTTGTTGCAGGTGTCCATGGGCGACGCTGATTGCTTACCATCAGGTAATGCGTCTGCTAGTTTGCCGGCCTATCACATAATAAAAAATCTCTTGTCAAGTCATCTGATTGCTTGACTGAATCATCAACAACCAATCAGATAACTTGACAAGAGATTTAACAGGAGATTAGTTCATTTTAGCGTTGACAAGCCTTTCAGAAACCGGGTGTAAGTCTGTAAGCCTTCTGTAAGAATAAAAAATATCCTCGCCTATCTATATTTGTTTCCTAAGTAATGTTAACTTACAGATGCGGGTGAGTCATCTTCTTCCATTGAGATGATGGCTCTTTGTGGGTCTGCGCATGGCTGAAATAGAGAAAGTAAAATTAGTAGTGACAAGAATTAATTTAACATTAATTAACTTAGTCATACAATCGTCCTTGATAACAATAAGTATAAGAAGTTTTGTTGCACACAAACATACTCTATATCTATTAAAACTTAAGAATAAAATGATTTTTTTTTTCTATAAGATTTCAAGAAAATTACTAGTAGACCTACTGAACAACACTGCCATCGAGAATGAGGCAGAGTGTCGTCTTCCAACTCAAATAAAAACGTGTCGTTTTTGTTTCGAGTGGAAGATCATCGAACGACTTCCCTCGCCTTGGGTAAGATTATAGGGAATGTCAGACTCTTACTGGCATAAAAGCCACCCTTGTAGTTTTTTCCATTTGTCTCCGAGACCGGCCTAGGTATCTATATGGCGCTCTCCCCACGCTCCTGGCCTAAGACTAGCAGGTTTTCAGTGCATACCTGTGTGTTGGTATGGTAAGGAGGTGGCGGAGTCCCCGGGGGCGGAGTTCCACTGTCGGGCGGAGAGCGCGCTGTCCGCGCCAGGGGTGACGATACTAGGCTTGCTGGAAACAGATATAAACGTCGTTTAAGTTAAAAAGTATTGATATTTAATTAAACGTCTGGCTAAAGGTCTTTCTTTTTTTCTGCATAGAAGACAAATTGTGTGATTTTTGTGTAATATTATATTATGTGATATAATATCTCCAAAAAGCCTATCTCTCTTAGTCACGTTATGGTTTGACGAGGTATCTCGAAACGTTTCGAGTCACATATGGGGTTCATAAGTTTCAATTAGTTTTTTACTGTATAGAATGTTGACGTATAAATGTGTTGCTTTAGGGCCTATTTTCAAAATAAATTCTTTTTTTTTTGTTTTATACTCATGAGCACAGCAATATTGAGTGACACATGACGATGCGGCAAACCAATTTAACCGCGCCAAAAAGTCACGTGACCATTAAACATGAAAATTTTTTAATAAGAAATTATTAAAAAATAGGCAAAAACTCACATCTATTCAAGTCAGTGTCCAGTTGTTCGGGAGACGACCGACTCCTCATATGTAACACAGGTACGCCTGTCCGGTTGTCCGTCTGTGAACATTATTACACACAATTATATATACATAAAAATTACATTATTTGTATATTGTAGACAACGTTTTTAGATGTAAAACCGTCAAACTAGTAAATAAATAAAATCTTATTTTAAGACATCCTACTATATTCTTTAATTGAATACGAGCTTTATGTTTTTGTATTGGAGTCGAAAATCGATTAAAAAAAATTGTCGATCTATTAGATATAATTATAATCGATTAAAATGTATTGCTACCTTTTTGGTGTTTCACATATAAAAAGAATGGATCATGCTTATAATATACAGCCTTATTAATAAATAATTAAATTAATGTAAATTTTAGTATTATATAGACGAGACATTATTAGTGTTACCATTAAAAATGTTGAATGAAGTGTTGCCAGAGTTAAAATATAAAAAGCAATTATTGTTATTTTTGATAGATTTTTATTAATAAGGCTTTATTATTATATACTTATAAGGTAATGTTAGTCACGATTTGAAAATGTTATAACATGAAAATGCTTGTAGGCATTTTTGACATGAAACACAAAATATTATTGAACCTGAAATATTTACAAAAGTCTGATTTTCTTTAATATTATTTGTCCTACATACACACTCATAGTTTATAAATAATCTTATAAATATTTGTGCGATGAATATACATTCCGCGGTTCGATAAAAAATATAAAACATTTTTCAAGCAGTAAGAAAATAAAGTAGAAGCTATAGCTACCAAAAAAAGATATAAAAATATGCAGAGGAACACTCAGCCCAACAATATAGAGATTCCATAGGAAAACATTCACTTCGAGCGCAGACACGAGGTTTCAGAACAATATTACTGTACATTGAGATTATATACATTTGTAATTGGTGTGTCATAAACAGAAAATACTTGCACAATTTGAACTTAGTCATACAATTTTAAACTTTGAATAAAGGTTATTTTCTAGTATTGTTGTTTAATCTTTATAAAATTGTTCTAAAATCTGTGCGAGGCGATTATACCTGTAAGGGTGGTGGTGGCACATTAACCAGCGGATAACTCATCTGCATGGCGATAGAGTTTGGCTGCGGGCCGTCCAGGTCGGCGTCCAGGTCTCCGTCCAACGAGTGCGAGGAGCGGCGGTGCTCGTGCATCGACTGGTGCATCGCGAACTGGTCCCCGTAGTAGCGGCCGTAGTACTTCTGCGAGCTGTGCCCCGGCTTGGGCTTGGCCAGCGGGTTCAGGGGCGGGCTCATGCTGGGGCTTATGGGGTTGCGCTTGGGTCGCTCCGTGGAGCGCGGCGGGAGCGGCGGGGGCGTGACGTTGTCGAGGCACGTGGTGGGCACGAGCGGCACGGTGGGCGCGGCTTGCTGCGACTGGGGGCGGCGCCGCCCGCAGTCGTCCGAGTTCTGGCGCACGAGCGGGCCGGCCGCGGGCTCGGCCTGCTTGGCGCGGCTGTTGCGCAGGTTGCGCAGGCTCTGCCCCGTGAGGTTGGACAGGGAGCGCGGCAGTCCGCTGAGGAAGCCGCCGGGCTGCGCGGCCGGGGCGCGCTCGGGGAGCTTGGCCCGCGGGCTGGGGCCGCCGGGGGAGCCCGGCTGCCGCGCCAATAAGCGTGTATGTTACAGACACTGTGCTATGCTGAGATTTCGTAGAAGCCTAACTGCCTTCATAACACGTGTCTAACTTTACAAACTACTATTTGGTGGAACTTAGTAAAGTGAGCTCTAATGAGATCGAACGATATTGTTCTTAATGAGACTAGTCTTTCTACAAATGGATTTAACAACAAATAACATAAGAGTCGATTACAATGCGAAAAATTGTATTAAGCTCAAATGCGAAACTTTAAAGGCGACAATATGGTACCCTGAGGAACACCAGTTTCGATAAGTGCGAAAAGGATTTCACTGACCAAATTTACTTCCCAATTCCGAATAATTTAAAAAAGGTTTGACTTGACCAAAAGCTTTGTATAAAACCTTCCAGCTCAATACTCCCTAATATAGTGGACTATAAAGTTAACTTTTGTAATAAACGGAGAACGCTTAAGTTACGTCAAAGAAACATTATTTTGATTCTTTAAGAATTTTCCACACGGAACACACAGAAGAAAGACTGTCTCATTTACAAAAGTGTAGTAAACTACAACTATATTTAGAGCAAATTATAAGTTTTGAATAAAAATCTCAACACAACAAAGTGCACAGTGTTGCAATAGTTAAAAAGTAAAGATGTGTGATGTACAGTTACAACCATTCCCATTGGATGAGACGAAAGTTACAATAAATGTATTATACATATAAATGTATGATTTAGCTGTCAGTTTGTTTGTTTGTTTAAATGTCTCTACCATGTCTGATTCTATGCATAAACTAATAATTAATGACGCGACAATAATTTATTTTTCGGTGTCTTTTATGATATATTGAACATTATAATTTAATTCTTATTTATTAAGACGGTATTACATTGTTTGATAACAATATTATTTGTATACATTCTCAATTCATATTTAACAACTCAGTATAATTACAAATCATTATAAATATTAACAATAATATAATGAAAGATAGTTCTGTAGCTAAAAAACTAATATGACGACGCAAAATTTCGCGAAAACTTTACAAACCACAAAACAACAACAAGAATTATAAAATGAAAAAAAATATGAGAAAACGTACACAGACACACAAATATATAGATATAAAAACGCACACGTAGATACATATACAGGATCATTTATAAAGCAAATAAATCCTTAGTGTGGGAGAGGCATGCTACGGCACGAATGGCTCGGCTCGACCGGAGTGATACCACGGCCTCACAGAAAACTGGTATGGAACAACCGCAGCGTCGTTTTGTTTCAAAACTACGTTCTCCCAGAAATTTCTACCAGGCACAGGTTATGGCAGATCCCTTTTACGTTAAGGGGATAGTTCAGCAGTGACTTCTCACGAGGCTGTTATTTATACGAAGTTTATATTACAAAATATATCCCTTTTTGTGATAGAGTAAGATAATCAAATGACTTCTGCCGCCCAGGGTTAGGCGAAGGAGAATGCCTCTTACTGACTAACCCCCCCCCCCCCCACGTTCCTTCTCCTGCTCTGGACCGAGGCCGCGGTGACTCATTGCGCTTACCCCGCAACCCCGGCTGAACATCAGCCCTATAGGGCCCCGTCTGTGGTGGTCCATTGGCTCTATGAGGCGCGCGCGGAACGCTACGCGCCGTACGCTCGGGTCTCGGGCGACGACCTACCCAGACCCGCGCTAACGATGGCCAGAGATCATTTCTCGAAAAATTATATCCCTAATATCTCCATATGAATGGATTCAGATGGGAGAGCCATGTCATGACATGGCTCTCCACAAATGGGTCGGCTCGACTGGAGCGAAACCACGGTCTAACAGAAAACCGGCGTGATGAAACCGTAGCTCATTTGCATAATAAAAAACGGTGGGGATTTGGGACTGTTCTTAAAAAATAATGGATGTTTTATAAATGACCTTGTATAATGACGTCACAGTTAAGGACAAGCATGCATAGAAGCAGACACGTACAAACATGTTGCTACCCGACTCGTCCCGTTAGCCGTGTTAGTTTCACTTAGCTCCCACAGTTCGATGAAGGTGGTGGTACTTCATTTGTAAGCCGTTATTATAGTTTCCGAGTAACATTTCCATGAGCAATTTATTCCACAAACAACCTTATAGCGATCCACATAAGTTCTTTATTGCTTAAATGAATTGTCAACGTTTTATTTATTTTTATAAAAAATCTTACAAGCGACGTCATACGATGGATGTCACCCATAACCATGGGCTCCGGTCCTGACTTGAAACTAATCGATTACACTCGAACAGTTACGTTACGTTAACACACATATTCTAGTTGATGTTTCTATTTGTTGCATTGATTTATTATTATAATAATTATAGACTTTGTTATATGCTTTGAACTGGAACAAATCATTATCCCTCCCTTTAATGCCCTCCCCCACATAATTGTCTACAAGTGAAGTACCAACACCTTGGTGAAACAAAACTGTACGGGCGCGGTGTTACGTGGGACTCTATGTTTAATTATAATAACACTAAGGTTCACTTTCGCCTCTAAATAGGGGTATCATTGTGGTTAGGTTAGGTTACTTGTAAATATTTGAAAAATAAAATTAAAAATTATTAAAGAATTAAAATTAAAATTGTTTTTTAAAAGAACATTGCTTTTTTTATTCAAATCTCAAGTACTAGAATACCCAGCCACAATAATAACCAAAAGGACATATAAAAACGTACAAAAAAATTACAGTGACGGTAAAAAAATAAAAAAAAAAACGCTGAAAACTAGTTACAAAATGCAATGTGTCGATACTTTAACAGTGTATTGCAAAAAAAGATCTTATTTTAAAGGTAGTAAGGTCTTTACCTGTCCAGCCATGATCGTGTCGATCTCATGTTGTAATTTTGAGCAGCGCTGCTGAGCGGATTCCAGTTGAGCTTGTTTCCTCACGTCGGGAACTTTTAACAGTTCATCTGGAATGGGATGAAGTAATATATTATTGCCAAATTCCACAATGGGATATTTAAATATCATCGTGGCCCAGAGGTTAAGGAGACCATCATGCATCAGGATTCTCATGCATGAGGATGCATTTCAAGGTATCTGTAGGTACTTTCATGATTATTTTGACACCACTGCATACGGTGAAGGAAAACATCGTGAGGAAACCTGTAGTTGTAATTTCTAATTATAAATTTGAAATCGCCAATCCGCATTAAGCAAGCGTGGTATTTTCTACGATTATTTTTGGATAATAGAGCTGCCACTTACTGCGTAGATCCCTGATGAACTTCTGTTCTTGCTCCAGCATCAGCCGGACAGTGTGCACTTTCGACACCTCCAGCTGACGCTGTTTCTCCGGCTGGAAACAATATATACAGTGGTGTATTAGTGAGACTCATCCTCATATTACAAAAAAACTTATAACATTACTGCTAAGTTTCGAGAGGTTAATTTTATGGGATAGGTCAGCAAAGGAGTAGATGGATACCCCATGGTAAGCAATCGCCGGCGTTTTCCCCTAGCAACTCTAGCACTACGAGTTAAAAGTACCTAAGTTGCCGGCCTTTAGATAGGCAAAAATAAGGCGTTAAGGGTTTGGCGTGCGAGAGATGATCTCCGGCCACCGTAAGCGCGGCTCTGCGGACGGCGAGTAAGGGTAGCTCGCCGCCCGATTAGAACTAGACCCGAGCGTAGGGCGCGTAGCGTTCCGCGCGCGCCTCAAAGAGCCAATGGACACCACAGACAATATTCAGCCGGGGTTGCGGTTTAAGCGCAATGAGTCACCGCGGCCTCGGCCCAGAACGGGAGAAGGAACGGAGGGGTTTTTAGTCAGTGAGAGTCTGACACTCTCTCTGACCTTACCCTGGGCGGGAAAACTCATATGATGATTGTCCTTGAAAAAAAGGGTTTGGCGTTTTAGGGATGCGTAGATTTAGGAATAATGGGGATATAGGTGGTGGGGAATGTGGGAGGACAAAGCACAACGCAAGCGAAATTGCTCGTCAGTAGAAAATTGAAGCCAAAAACTTAAGCGACAAATGAAACATCAAAGAATCGGTATTATCAGGTGAGCGTAGCATTCCGTATGAATCCTTCAGCGCTGCCGCACCTGTACAAATAGCGAGCACTAAGGTCGCGTGCTATTTGTATGTTCAGTACATATTACACTGACATTTACTATACATCGCCTAGTGATATCGACGCCGGCGATATCACTAGGCCGGCCGATTTCTCACCACTCTCATTTCTCCCGCAGACAAGAATTGTCTTCTTTGTCTAAAGAAAAAGGTCGTGGTGACCCCGAGATTAGTTCGCCCTCTTCTCATGCATGAGGGTGTGGTTTCGAAACCTGGCAAATAGCAATGTGACTTTGTCCTTTTTTTGATTGATGACTTTTTTGGCTGATGATGAAGAATTGTCTTATTAGGCAGAGACCAGACAGCATCGCGCTTTAATGATCATTCTAAACTGCAGTTCGCGGTGAAAGGAAGTGCGGTTTAATGTGCGATTCAGTTTACAGATGTGATAACCAAATCCTTGAAGAAGGTTAAACACTCAATAACAATGATTAAGCAAGCTAGGCTAGCTATATAAAATAAACCGCGGGGAAGAACTTGTAGAACAAATACCGTACTAAGACGAAGTCCTTTAACACTAAATAATGAGGTCATGCAAACGTCATGTTTTTATTTGCTCGAAGGCAATATTAAAATAATAGAATAATGTTAAATTCCACTTTCCAATGGACCATAGCCATAGGAGGCGAGCATAATTATATCAATATACCAAATACAATACAAAGGTATATTCCAGAAAAAATTTTTACTAATGTTACAAATGATTACCTAATCACGCCAAAACGGCAGGATGAATCAGTATGAAATTTGGCACAAGCGTAGGAAACACTCCGGAATAGGACACAGGCTATATTTTATCAACATACCACACGGGCGAAACCGCGGGTGAAAGCTAGTAGCTTATATGTGTTTATGTGTTTTACCCCAACTGAGGCAACCAAAAACATACGATATTAAAAAACAGTGATCAGCTGATCAGTAACGGTTTCACAACAGTAGCCGTGTGACCTTGAGCTGCGCAAACGCATCGTGTTTTACAACATCAGTGACTATTGCATTTCTCGGACTGATAACGTCAGCCCAAGGTCACTGCTCGCCAGTAATGCACACAAATATTTTAAAGTTTGCCTTAAAATTTTTAATTAACTACTATTTTGATTGTTTCCGCTGTTTTCTTGAGAACGGATGTTTTTTGTAGTAGTACTAAATACTATTAATGATATCAGAACTGAAATAACAGGAGTTGAAGTTAGCATGAAGTATAATAAACTCACGTTAACTGGCACTGGTGCTGTGATCGGCGTTTTATGCCTTGAAGAGTTCTGCTGTACTGTTAACACGGTTGATGGGTTCGCTGGAAAGTATAGAAATTAATGTTATTATGTCGTTACAAATAATACACACTAAACAAAAATATATTTAAATCAATACGTGTGGGAGAGCCAAGCTTCGGTAAGGTACAAATAGGTCGGCTCGACCGGAATGATACCACGGCCTCACAAAACCCGGCGTGAAACATCTACAGCGTTGTGTTTCGCCTTGGGAGTGCGGTTAGTGGAGATCCAATCCCTCCCCTTCCCCCATCCCTTCCCAATTATTAAACATCCGAAACCCTTATCCCCAAAAGGCCGGCAACGCACTCGTAACTCCTTTGATTTTGGGGGTGTCCAAAGGCGGCGCCAATTGCATACCATCAGGTAAACTGTATGCTGGCTTACAGACCTATCTGAAAAAAAAAGCAATTTAAAGAAAACCATACTTTACACCATCTCGTGTAAAGTCTGCTATAGAAGAATGAAAAAAGAAAAGAAGCTATACTGTGCCGACTTTTGACCCCAAATTACTTGAAAAAAGGCAGAACCTAAAGAGAATGTATTCGGAAAAACAACACTTCGAAATAGCAATAGAGGTGACCCTATAATTAAAGTGCAACAGTAAAATTTACGTTTCTACTTCGAATTTCGGAAAAGACAAAATTTCTCTAAAAATTAGGCATCAGATTCAGGACATCAAGGTAAAAGGTCAAAAAATAGCTATCGCTAGATGACATTTACTGTTATAGTTTAACAATCCGCGAGGATAGCATCGCCCAGTGATGCGAAGGCATTCAAGACCTGCTCAGTAAAATGAACAGATTAATGGGCACATAAAAACCGAATTAACATTCATACGATGATTCGCGCCGAGAAATGTTTTTCGTAGGTCGTTGGAATCTAAAATATGTTTTTGTAGTTCGTCAATTGTTTGGGATTTTGGCGCTGGAGAAGAGATCGCTTTTGGTAATTAAAATCGAAAAAATTGCGATCCATCGGTAAGGGATTCAATTGAAAACAATTTGTCTGCTACAATCAGGCAGAATAATAATAATAAGGTCCCAACAAGATAAGTAACTTTTAGATAAAGGTTAACATATTGTAAAATATAATTAAGCGCAAAATAAGAATACAACAATAAGAAACTGATGAAAACTATGGAGAGAAAAACGTAAAACAAAAAAAACAGCTGCCAATATTTCGCTTACAACATGATAAGTTGATGATACACTTCAGTTTTGACTAGACTATTAACTCGTTAATCACACAACACAGCCAAAGGAATGACCATAAAACGTAGCAGACTTTCACGAATCTCTAGAATAATAAACCAGCCAAACGGTCAGACCAGTGTTAAGTATTCTACGAGTAATTCAAAACACTTTCATCGCTACATCCAATATCTCTGATTAATGAACGACTACTGGGTTACTTTCGTTCGGTAGCTAAATACATGTAAAAATATTTCAAATACCATTTGTTTGTTTTAGTATAGGATTTATCGAAAAACGAGCTGACGTACAACCTGATGGTTGGTAAGGAATCAGAGGTATGGATACTTGTAACACCAAAGGAGTTACAGAGAGATAAGAGATAAAAGTATGGGTAAGTGATGTTTCAAGCCAGTATTCTAAGGCCGTGGTTCTACTCTAGAGCGGCCGGGAAATCTGACCAGTAATTTGTATCATCATCAGCCTATACCTTTCTGGCCCTTGTAATACAGTGTAAACTAGTTCAAGGGTCAGGGAATTCTGCTTGTCTGTGTAATTTTTTCTCTTCTCATATATCAAGTAATTTTCATCGAAATAATCAATAGTTCAAAGCTCACCTCGTATCATGTGCACGACTTGTTGATGTGTGTGATGATGTACTGGCACGGAGTCGACGCGCAGGATCCTGTCTCCGGAGCGGAGGCCAGCTCGCCACGCGGCGCCGTGCTCTTTCACTGACTGTACGTATACGGGATCCTCACCTGGAAAATGCAGCGGAATATTATAGCATCATTACGCACGAGTGATCAAAGACGAACTCTGGTGAAATTACTAGGACAAGTTTCTCCTATGCGTACTTCCTACTCCAGTAACTCATTCACAGTAGTAAAAATCCAGCGTATGGATTTCATTGAAAGTCATCCAATAAATAGTCTTCTGACCTAGGAGAGGTGAAAGATGTGTCAGATCCTTACTGACTAAAACACCCCGTTCCTTCACCTGCTTCAGGTCGGCGCCGAAGTACATTGCCGATTATCTCGGCCAGGAAGACGAACAACCGTTTTGGATGCAAAGAGGTTAAAGAAAAGATTGAAGGATAATTACATTTTATCAGTTTTTCCTGCAGTTGATAAAATTTGATGTGAATTTTAATCAGCGCAATGGAATATTCTGGAATACAACTTTCTTTTACTAAATGTATGACCATAAGACCTTTGACTAAAAGCTAAAACAATAACTAGAACAGAATAAAAATTTACTTCAATGTTATACAAAAACGTAACCAAACAAACGCTTCGGAACCCACACGGAACACGGCCTCGGAAGTGCGGATAATTTAATTTTACATTTACAACATATTGGAGCATAGAAACCTTGACAGTAACACATCGCAATGTCAAACATTTTGACAATGAAACTGGACGCTCATCGTTATGATAAAAACTAAAACACATCTAACTCCATGTACCTAGGTACTGCCTTTGGCTGCCGACCAAGAATTATTGAAGGGAAATACTCCGCTACCGTAGGTCACCGGTGACCTACGTGGCGCTTAACGTGTTGACCAAACTATTGCGTTTTACATAACACAAAAAGTTCCAGACTTTTTTAACGTTGTGATTGCCCAAATTTTAGACCCAAAATCCCAAGAAAGATTTAAAATCTAGGTCAAATTCTCTTCTCTATATCCATACATGGTTATCTCCATATATGGAGTCAACATTCCTCTAAATCTTAATAGTAATTATTTGCGATTTACAATGACACAGCAAAACTTCAATTTAAATACCGAAGCAGAAAATCAACGCCAGAGAAATCCAGCAATGCAAATTATCAGCATGAAGTTACTGTAAAAGTAGAAGCACCTATCTAAATATTCGCTAACGATGCCGCATAATTTGATATATGTACGTGGCAATCTGTCTGTCTGTCACGCAACTGACGATAGAATGAGAAATAACTATACTTCAAAGTAAGGCTAAGTACCAATATTAGTCGTATGATAATGTTGTGGTTTGGCGCCCGATAGACTTTAGGTAAAGGGCCGTTTTAGTCTTAGGATTTTATTAAATCCCCTCGCTGTTCTTATATCCGTACTTTGTCGGAGATCAGATCTAAGCGAGACACACTGAATTTGGTTTCATATCACGGTCACCAAATTTGCCAAAATGTTGATATTGCAGTTGTACTAAACCAGTTTAAGAAAAAGACGTCCTATAATTTTCTATAACTTAAATAATAACAACAATTCTTTTATTGTGTTAATGAAGTTTTAGAAGTAGCTTTTTCGTAGAAAACAAAACGAAATCGACACTAAAATTAAACAATAATTTGATTAACTTAGACAAATCTGACTTTATACTCAGCAACTGCACTGAGTCATCGGTTGCATAAACAATAAAGATGAAATAATTAATGATAGGTATTGTCTAAATTTAAAACCTGTTTAATAAGTTCACCGCACCTTTCTCCATCTGTTGTATTGTAAATTTGAAACAAAAGCGGAGAATTCAACCATAGACGTAGTTTAACAGGTCGACACGCTGATAATGCATTCAAACCATGTGTATGCACCCAACAATGGCATGGACAGCATTCATGGGGTTTGGCATGGAGTAGCACCGGCTGCTTTCACTATTGACAATTGATTAGCCTTTCTTTGGCAGGTATATCTTGATGGAATATATTTGCATTGCATTTGGAATGGTTTAGCAGTGTGGGGACTAATTACGGACACTTTTCTTTGACTTTTACTGTTTGTTGTTGCTTGTTAAGTCGATCTTAGTAAATTTTGAACACTTTCTTCTAATATAATGATAAATTTTGAATGAGGACTTCTTTAGTCTTGATTCTAAGCTGTTTTAAGGTATGGAGGTCATGCGGTAAGCTAAGCTGAAACTTAAATCAATATAGGAATAGTAGACTTTCAATCTTCTTGTAACGGGATATGTAAACGAGGTACGTACCAGAAACTTTCATGCCATAACCATGCTCATCTCGAACAACGGTGACGGTAAGCAAGTCGTCGCCACCCGGCGACCCCGCCCCGCCCAGCATCACCTGTAACAACATTACACAAATATTACTCACACAACATAATCAAAATGGTATCCATTTAGCCAATGAGCAGCTGTCTGGTGGAAAATCATTTCGACCATCAATAATGAGGATAACAAAAAGAGCAGGAAGGATATATAATCATCACCACCAATAGTTTTTTTAGTCCACTATTTGGCAATGGGCATCTGGAATAGCACTATACCTATAATTTATAACTGTAGCTAAATTTGTCAAATTCACATCAAAAATCCATGCCAGTACCAAACAGTTCAAATAAAAATGTTATAGAGATTAAAATGGGGCAGTCAAATTATGTGGTAGATGAGCTTGACCAACACTGAAGCTTATAAAATGCTTTGAACACATCGCTTATTGGTAATATCGGAAAATTAGCATCTGTTATGATATCCACTAATTTTCCTTACCTATCCGATGTATAAAATAAGCCTACAATACACTAAAAACAATGATGCAATGATGTCGAACTAAAACCAATCACCAACAAAATGTACATATTTGGAATTCCCCTTGCAAGTAGCAATACAGGTATCCATGGTGATACTGGATGTACCGACTAGGTACCAGGCTAACTGTAGTATAAACACTAGCTAGCAATGTTATCCTAATGCTAAGTAGACTAAACTATGTAGACACGTCATGTTTAGAAAAACAATAACAACTGCAACTGTTTTAGGAATAAATCCATATCCACTAGACGTAGACAGAAACAAGTCAATTTATTACGAAAGTTTCTAATAATTAGTTTAGAGCAACTTCAATTTTATAAAATTAGATGATTCATTTATTATTCATTCATAACTTCATCTGTTATTAAATATTCCACGAAGGGGGAGGTAAGAATGAACAAGCTAAGAACAGCAGCAAGAAGACAAACAAGGTTTAAGTGTGGGAGAGCCATGCTTCGGCACGAATGGGTCGGCTCGACCGGAGTGATACCACGGCCTCACAGAAGACCGGCGTGAAACAACCACAGCATTGTGTTTCGCCGTGTGAGTGAGGTTACCGGATGCCCAATCCTTCCCCACCCCCAATCCCTCCTCAATCCCTAAATCTCCAAATCCCTAATCCCTAAAAGGTCGGCAAAGCATTCGTAACTCCTCCGTTGCGGGTGTCCATGGGCGGCGCTGATTGCTTACCATCAGGTAATCCGTCTGCTCGTTTACCGACCAATTACATAAAAAAAAAGGTAAGTCACGCCTCATTGATGCAATTTGAAAATAGAAATTAACAATAATGATAGCCCACATTTCGATACATGACTGTATTACAAAAACAAAATGTTGTCTTAACCGAGTCCTTATGAAGGGTAAAGAACGCATTTCAACAACTCGTATTCATAAAAACAGAATTAAAATAACCATTACAAATATAAAAGTATCCTTATCAAAAACGTAGCTAAATAACATAGTCAAACCGCTTAGAACAGGTGTGATTAAGCAATGTGTCACAAAAACCCTGATAAATGATATTACTCACGCCGGAAGACATATTACGGGCTTGAACCCATTTCCTTTAGCCCAAAACTTTTCTGTAGATACTGACATTATGTGGCTGACGACAGGCCAAAAAGGTCACCTTAGCCAGGATTAGGAAGGAGAGGTTATATTACGTTGGAGGTTACGTCATCGTATGGTTTCAGTTGTATGCAGTTAACATTAAATCCACCTACCTACTTATTATAAACATTTTGGTAGGTCTGCCTGACTTTCGTGTAAAAACCAAAATTAAAATGATATTGGTATAAGATATGGAAATACTTTTCAAGGATTTATAGACAAAATTCAAAAGAAGGCTATTTATAAACTGACAAGATCAGAAGAGTTCATTGACTATTTGAGATACCCTGAGATAGATCCAGAAAAGTTTACTACAATCACCAAAATGTTGTGAAAAAATCATTTCATTCTCGTAACACGCTTCGGACGTATTCCGAGAACTCACGTACGAATGAATGCAAACGTAATTTCGTCGAACCACCGCGTTGGCTTGTCAAGTCATCAATGAACTTCCGATCATGCGTTCTATCAAGATCCACCGTGAATTGAAAACATTAAAGTTTGTATCAGAGGCATCAACGTTAAACAATTTTCACGACGCGACGGTAAAATGTGTGAATTTAATTCCCTATTACACGAAACAGTCCAAATAAACAGGAAACGTAAGAAATCTAATCCTGCAGTTGAATTAGAGTGGGTACGAGCGATATTACGCTGAGTTTTCTGGCGAGTAAAGTTTAGTTTTGTAAGATGTTATGATGTTGCGTGCTGAGTATAATAAACATAACTTTTATTCTTGTTTATGTGTACAATTAGGAGTTCATTGAGATGTTTTTACTTGGTGGGTTCGCTATTGTCTGGTCGTGAGCAGGTTGTTTTGAATGGCTATTCAATATAGATTCAGTGCAGTAGGTTACCAATGAGTTCTTTTCCGTATCTTCAAAGGATAGTCAATAGTCGAACGTCACTTCCTTATGACTGTCTCGACCTGAATCAAGGATACTTCCAGATCACTTGTGGATAACAATAGGGACAATTTTATTTAGACCTAAGAGCGAAGACTAGGTGTATGCTCTTTAAAATGTTCGTTTATCTCCCTACACAACGACTAGTTTACTGTAAGTTCCATACCTTTATGAAAAACATCACTAATAACATCGATATCAGAACCACCTGAATTTATCACATCCACCGTACCACTGACATTCACTTCACCGTTTTGTAGACAAACAACTGAAACAGGACTGCCACAAGGCACACAGAAAGAGCTGAAGGCCTACTAACACAATTACCTACGCATCGGCTGAAACCATCAATTGGAGCATGAATAAGGGTAGGCAGTACTGCCCTCCCCTGATGGTTAATTTTAAAACAGTTCTAGCTCGGGGGGCAACGGGTCAGTAGACATTACGTAGCGGGTTCACGATTAAATAAATAACAACCCTTTTGTTAACGCCTCATCATCTGTTTGTTGCGTTATAAATCTATCATCATTATGAGCTTTTCATCTGTTATAGGTATAATATCTAATACATAGGCTGCCCAATCAATTTTAGCTGAAACATTTCAAAAACTTGCTTACGAATCTAATAAATACTTAATAACATACCTAACCCTATGAATATTAATTATTATGTTTTCGGCTCACTCACGTAATAATCTGACGAGACACTCGACTAGTTTCAAGCCATGCTAGAGGCCCATATTCATGAGCAGCATTCCGCCACACGCGACTTGGCGACTGTCGCGTTGCTACAGTAGTAGCAGCAGATAGCAACAGTAGATAATAATTAATTTAGAATGTCTCACGAAACCTATGAATATTATTAAAAAGATGTGCCATTTAATTATTTTCCTCCACGAATAATTTTTTTTTTTTAAGTATGTCTATGTGACGTATCTTTGATAAAAACTCAAGTAAACAAAATCAAGATTAAAAAAGCTATCCCCTTATCACACTTTGCGTGTTTAGAATCATGCTTTAACCAGAAACCTAAAATAGTTAGTTATAAAGGAGCAACTGACTTCAGCAACAATAGGTACAAGTTTCTCTGAAAAAACATAAACCGTTTTAAAACCGGTAGCCTCGCATCATCGTAATTGCGAATTTTAAAATACTCTCGTCAGTTCTGACGTCCAAAACTCCAAACAAGCGAGGCGTCAACGCCTGATGGCGAAAACACCTATTTAAAAATCTTACACAACAAAAACAACGTAACAAAATATTAATTAACAGCAACAAATGATCCGCAACGCAACACTAGCGCCACTGTTGTAGGAAGCTGACACTGAAGCTAGTTTTGGCAGCACACACACGTCATGCACTGTCCAGAATGTCGGAGGCGGACACTGCCAACATATTCTGGAGATGGGCTATAGAAAAATTATAAGATGGTAATTGACATGGCCCGAAATAGATGATTGGTTTCGGTTGCTTACGATGTCATCCTGTTTTCATTACATCCATAACGTTTTTATGCTCGTGTAGTTTTGATGGCTACAGTAAAATGGCCATTCTATCTGCTTGGGTAGGTACCAAGAAATTTGTGTAAACGAAACATTTTATATCTTACTTAATCAATTTTATTACACCCTTTAAAGGTCGGATAAAGTTAAAAATTTAAATTTGAGTTCAACTCTTAAGCTTTTAGAATTACTGTTAATCCATATGAATTACGTACCTAAGTAGAAAGGCATCATTTAAGTTTTCAAAATCTTGTCTGACCAATGGACCGATCGGAAAACGAACCTCAGTTCAGGCAAATAGCACTAGCACTCCTTTAAACTTAAAGTCACTAGATTGACCACGAATTTTTTTAACAGTTTTGTCACTCACTAATACATGATAGCCATCCGTAATATTGGTATATTAGCTTAATAAATAGGTAGAAATACAACGAAAACTATGAGAATATCCCGCACTAATACAACAATCACTGCAATAAAAGTAGCCACAGCTTCAATCGAAGAGTTAATAACAACACCACTATTCAACATACCGATCAATGTACAAACAAACAAACAATATTATACGTGAAATACAACAATTTACGTGGTCCAGACCGCGAGAGATCAATACTAGACGAGCTAAAGCAAATTAATAAACACAATATAGACAGAGAAGCCGGTTTGAAACACAATGATTGCGTGCCATTCTAGATCAACCTTCCGAGAAATTTACCAAGAATCTAGGTATTGATCGTAGAGAGAATTTTCTACTCAAGATGGAACTTCCATTAAGGTTGGAGATCTAATTTAATTGTGTTCCAATTCTATCGCTTTTACTTCATTTGTCAGTATTATCGGGGATTTACGTAAAGATTAGTATCAAGGAAGCAATTTAGTAGGTACCGTCGTATCTTCGAGTTCAAGTCTATTTTTAGTAGCAGCATAAAAATACGATAAGGTTGTGGGTGGTACCAAAAACATGATTCATTTGATTCAAACTTTGACATTTACGTTTTTGATTCTGATGTTGTTTTCTGCAGGCTCAACTGGATAAATTCAGATAATTTCATCTGTGTGCACTAGTTTTAAGGAACGGCTGCAAGTATTGGTAATCAATAGACAACCATTTTGGATATTAGGTTATCCAAACTATCTCGAACATAATAGAGGTATTAATCACATGGATATATTTTAATAGACTTTGATATTTGGCAATGGTATCCTTTATTTTCTTCAAATCTGTGTCATTTTCTGGAAAAAGAAACGTATGTAAGCTGATATAGCGTTGTCCCTACTCCCTTGAATCCACAAACTGTGTGTAACGTAAATAAAGAGCAAAACGTCTATGCTACGTGCGTACGCATGGATTCACAGCATTGTCGCAGACAACTCGACGCCGGCGTTAAATAAAGATTTTATCTGCCAACCGCTCCACCGCTCAGCGACCAGCAATGTCCAACCGCTGTAACTTCATAGTGTGTTTATGCCACGTTTTATGGACACAACAGATGTGATATATAATTAAAAATAGGGAGTTATTCTATGAATACATTTTGATTCACAACGTGCTCGTGAACATAGTACATATTATGAATAGTTTTGGTGTTCAATAGAAAGGTATTAAAGTAGCTACTCGTTGTTGTTCTATGACATCAGCTAATAGTACAATAGACGGCCTAGTATCCTTGAATAGGGTATCATTGATCTATCAGCCAGCGTAGGTTTGATCATATCATGACACTAAATAACCAAAAAACCATGACCCATATCAGTCAAAGTTGCGCAAACGCCGAGGGTACACAACGTAAAACAGTGAAATAGAGAAAACAGTAGCACAAACGGCCAACAGCAAGAATAATGACTACAAATCAGTTTTTCGTTTGGCACTTTTACTTGAAAGTGGTTCCATGTACCATTTCATTATGTAGATGGTGTTATAATAATACAATCTCGTACTTTCATCAATAGCGTAATTCTGTGGACGCGGTGGCCAGTTAAGTGGATTACCTAGTGCATATTAATGTCCCAAAATATTTTAATTACACGCTTTAGTTCGCGTATTGAATCGAAATAGCCAACTAGACACATTTGAATGTACCTTGCATTAAATTTTTGCAGAAGGGCCAACTTGTGATTGCTTCGTGTTAAAACTTTCCGAGCGTATCGTCACTATAGAAACTACTGAATGTAAACTG